CGGGAGCGCCGCGGCTGCGCCGGGCCCCCTGCGCCTCCCTGTGCCGCAGCCGCGGCGGGCGCGGTCCCCGCCCGTCCCCCGGGATGTGCCCCGGCTCCCGGGCGTTCCCTGTGCGACCCTGCGGCCCGAGAGCGCTGGCTGGCTGGCTGGCCGGGCCCYGGAGATCGGCCGTGCCGCCGCTGGAACGTGATTGCCAGTCACCCCCCGTGAGGGCAAATGGGCCCGGGCCGAGGTGAGGGGCGGCAGGGCCGCGCCGGCCGCTGAGTCCGTGAGTGAATTCGCTGTATGCTCCCTGCTCGGGAACAGCCTAATCCCCTCCTCTCCTCGTGACCCTAATGATCGAGAAGTTTGATGATTTTTGAAGGTGAAATACCGCGCTTCGCGGCCGCCTCAGAGGATGTAACTGCTGAGGGAGAAGGAGAGGGATGGCAGATCTAGAGACTGAAAAATTTCACTTCACCGCTAAGCTTTGAGCAGACTATTGATCTGGGATCTTATTTCTAAAATGGGAAGAGCAAGGTACAGAGTCCCGATGGTACAGTCCGTAAGAACATGCTTTCCACAGGGTGGACTGCAGGAGGCTGTGCCTTTGCCCCAAAAGGGACCCCAAACCAGGGCACGGGATATACTGCACGTACCCTGCATAGTCACTGTGAGCACTGACAAGCCCAGAGGCTCCTGTGTGCAGCTCACATCCCCCTAGTGAGCCTCCATCAGCTGTGTGAGTGGCGCATTGCTCTGTGCTCGTGTAGACATCCCCACTCCCTGACTCGTGGGCACGCTGGCGTGCAAACCCAGGGCCACATGTTCCTCCTGAAGGCTGTGAGCATGCAGAGCGACACAGTCCCACAGCACATCTACTCCCGAGACTGTAAACATTTCAAGGTTAAATTGTCTTAAACATGCMAAAAAGTATTTAATATCATCAGCTGAAAAAAGGTTCAGTCTCAAGTCTGGCCGAGTCTCCCTAACCAAAAGTATGCTGACGGCTTCAGCCATGATGTAACTGATCAGTGTGCTTAGAGGAGAATAATCTCATGTAGAATGTAGAATCACAGGGTTTAGGGCTACTGGAAATCAATCAGTCATTTCACCTGGTTCCAGTATATTTCAAGCCATTTCATTTCAAGCCATTTCATTTCATCTGTCTTTTTGCCCCCAGTGAATTGAGCCCAGTATTTAGCTTCTAGCTACAGTCCATCTTCCAGAAAGGCACTCAGTCTTTCTCTGACACAATCCAATTCAGTGTTTCCCTGGRTAGTTTGCTCCAATGATTAATCCTCCTAGTTCAGAGCTTGCATCTTGTTTAGATTCATCAAGCTCCAGTGCTTTTAGTTTTTCTCTCATAAAGAACTACATAATACTTGATATCTCTGTCTGACAGTGGCTGTACGCCTCAGGTCATCTCTCAAGGTCTGTTTGGCATGTTTTCAGGATACAGTGTTACATGAGTGCATTTTAGTTCCAGCGGCAGCACGGCTGATCTCCAGTGTAAGTATCTATGAGAAAGGCAAGATGACCACRTGTGATAGTCATGCAATTATCCCTTTGTCCCTGGATCCATTTTGTAGACCAAGTGCCACTACAAGCAGTTGTGCACAACTACTCTATTATTCAACTTRGATTATTTGTAGGCTTTCATGAAGAACAGTCTTCTTTTTCACAGCTTTRCAAATAGATTTTGATGCTTAATAATAATTTCCATGTACCTTTAGAGATTAAAACTTCATATGTCACCAAATGAATCTTATTTCTGTGATCAGAAAAAAAAAAGAAATAATTTTTGAGCTAGCCAAAATGTTGTGTTAATTTCTACTCCTAAAAGCACAGTGACACCTAAAGGCTCAGTCTGTCAGTCCTGTCTGGCTATATTCYTGTCAATTCTGCAAGTCATGCAGCTATCCAACTGTCTTTTCAGTGGTGGCTTAAATACTGCCAGCAGAGTATCTGTGGCAGTACCAAGCTAAGCATGAGCTGCAGATTCTTCTTGAGAAGTGGGAAAATATCTAAGTGGTTTACATATATGGATGTGTCTACAGCTAAATGTTTCATCTGAAGGGGCTCAGCAAGCAGTGCACATACCCTGATTATTTTATGTCAGCCTCCTCTACCTGACTTTTGAGGCTTCACTATAGTCACCTTGCTTCCTGTCTTTTTGCCTCAACAAAGGCTTGTGCAATCAGAATAAATGTGTAGAGATACGTCTGTCCTTACTGCCTCATAATTTAGAACTTATTAATTCATTTCAAATAGTCTTGGTAGGRACAAGGTAGAAATTTTATGTGAATAAATAGGTAGCTAGAGGAAAGAGAGCCTGTAATGGTCTCTAGATGCATCCGGGTTGAAACAGTGTAATGTGAGCTCAGCTGTTACTCAGCACAGACATTACCAGGTACAGGTACAACCCTTTGCAAACACTCTGAGTTGGTAATTCTGGAAAACGTTTTAGTCTGAGCCTAACATCTATAAAACCCCAGGCTGTCCAAAAAACAAACTTAATTGGTTCTGGCCATCCCAAGAAGTTCTAATTATTTAAGATATTTATAATTACTGCAAAGTCAGCATTAAAGGGGAAATAGTATCAAGCAATATTTTCCTATTAGACATCACATTTGTTTGCCAACACATTTGTTTTGCATCACATTTGTTTGCCGACAAATCCATAGTGTTTGTCCCTTCCTTCTCATTTTATATGGAGTTACTTCAAATTTTTTTCATGATTTCATTGCATTTTGACACAAAGGCTTTAATAATTGCATTGACCTTCACATGAACAATTCACATAAATATTACCATTTAACTGAATGTTTTCAGCTAATAAATACCCAATTATAAAAACTACCAAAAAAAAAAATTCCTTTTCTTTTGTCAGATACTTGTCAAATTTGTCTCACCAGTTATTGCTTTCTTCTGCTCCTCATGATCATTCCAGCCATTACTGGAAGCAAAAAGAGTTCAGGAGCAAACAGAATTGGTGGCTGCACCATGTGTACACTCAACCATGCTTCTGTGCTTGATATCTAACATTCATTATCCATTAACAGAGAGTCCAATGCCTTCTGCCATGCCACAGTATCGGATGTGCTGCTTTCAACATAAGAAAACACAAAGTTAGGATAATATCATTATMATGAAACTCTAAATTTACAGAAATTTGGGGTGGATCTGGGCATAGAAGACCATGCATCTGCTTCACTGACAAGACTTTGTTCAGAGGAAAAGTATTTCTGTTTCTTTTCAGTACTGAAGAATGCTCATGAAGATCTTCATTACACAAGAGGGAATGAAAGAAATGGGCAGATCAGCAGAATGAGGCAACCTTCCAGTTCAGCTTCTAGGAGGCTGCACCAAACTGTAATCAAGACGGAAAGCAGGTCGCAAGAAAGTTTCTGTTGGGAAGCACACTGTTAGGATATGCTGGCCTTGCCACTACATTGTGATATAACACATCCTTTTTTAATCAAGTCTTTTGATATGGCATTTAGTCCCTGCAAGCAGCCTGTGAAATAACAGGGTTACAGCAGAACTTCTGCTGCAGTAAAAATAGCAGTAGCACAGCCATGGTACACACAAAAACACAAACTGTTGAAGGTCAAAACAGAAGAAAAATATCTATTTAAAACTTAATCTTTTACTTTAGAGCCTTTTAAAAACCATCTGAGATTTGACCCCTCCTTTCTGCACACATAGAKTCAGCAGTATTGCTTAGGACTCTCTGCAGTCTTGCCTATATGGTCATTTTGCCTCCAAGTCAAGTGTATGCGTTTTAGCCCAAGCTCTTGATTTACCTACATTATTTCCAAAATAACACAATCAGTCTTAAAAAGACCTCGGAGGTCATCGAATCCAACCTGCAGTCAAACATCGCCATGCCAACTAGACAACGGCTCCAAGTCCAGTCCTTCCTCAGACACTTCCAGCGACAGTGACTCCACYACCTCCCTAGGCAGCCCATTCCAATGTCTAATCACCTTCTATGAAGGAATTCCTCCTAATAGCCAACATGAATCTCCCCTGGCGTGGTTTAAAGGCCATTTGCTCTCGCCCTGTTGCTGGTTGCTCGTGAGAAGAGGCTGATCGCAACCTGGCTATAGTGTATTTTCAGGCAATTGCAGTGAGCGATAGTCACCCCCGAGCCTCCTGCWGGCTAGACCTGCAGCTGTAGCAATYTGCTACAGCTTGGGCAAAACGAAGAAGCTGTTTATGGGAATTTAAAATCAAACCGCTAGCATTTCCTTTYTTCAGCTACCGATGAGCCCCAAAGCACGGCGGCCCGGGTCGGGGCAGCCCAGCGGCGGCTCTGGCCGTGGGGCTCGGTCGGGATGTGCCGGAGCGCGGAAGCRGTACCTCAGCCCGGCCCGCCATGATGGCGCAGCCCGGCGCCCTCCCGCCGCCCCAGCGCTGCCCGAAGCCGGCGGGGCGGGGCGCTGCCGCCCGCCCGTCTGCCTGCACTTCCGCGGCGGCGGCGGGCGGTACGTGGTGTCCGAGGGCTGCYAGGGCTGCCCGGGGGAGGGGAAAGGGAAAGGGAAGGGCGGGGGTGAGGCCGCCCTCCGGTGGGGCGGGGGCCGGGCCGTKCTGGGTGGGGGTGACGCGGCAGCCGGGGGAGGCCGGGGCTGTGCCGGGGGTGCGGGCTCGGGGGAGGCCGCGGCGGGGCTGGTGCTGGGACACTGCTGGCATTGCAGGCGTGCGGGCTCCCTGGCAAGCTTTTGGTATCTCGAGAGTCAGGCGAGTGTGGGAGGGAATTGTGAGCATCAAAGTGGAGCAGCTTACAACAGGGAAGGGTTTAATGTTTACGCAGGTTAGAAACGGATTTATTCCCCCTCTTCTTTCCGCAGTATAGCTTTTATTGTTTTCATTTAAAAACGCATCAGGAGTATGCTTCCTGRTCTTCCTTTACTAAGTGATGCAGGCTCGTCCTGCAAATGTAGTTAGAATCTAGTTTCTTAGTAATAAATAAGAACAAACTATTAAAATAAGTTTCCAACCAAGAGTTTATACTGGATTGTCAGTAGCAGAAACCATTTTGCCACAGGCTCAGTGCTTACCATAAATCTAGGAGTGGATGTTGACTTAACAGYAATTGACAGATGGATGCGAGGATACGATCCTGTCAAGGAAATGAGCGCATTTTGATGTCTAATTAGAGTTCAGTGATGTTTTTTTAGACTTCTGTTCTTCAGCTGTTAGATGTTATCTTCTTTTCAGGGAAGTGGATGCTATTACTAATTGTTTCTGAAAGTGAAATCAAACACCTCCAAATCGATATATACGAGTTTCTGGTTGAATTGATATCCTGTCCACATAGTTAAGACTTGTATTGACTATTCAGGCTCTCAATTGTTCCTCTCTGCAATAGTTTATAGATCTTGCCAAGTTAGATGGAACATACGAGATACTATCAAAAGCAACCTGCTTTGTCTCATTTCTTTAGAATGTAGAAAACAACGGGGTTACCAGTCACCTTGAAGTCAAAGTAGAAGCATAAGACCTTAATTATTTGTAATAGTGAATTTCAAGCAGTATAGCAATTTAGCTTTTACCACACTCTCTGGATCAAAAAAATATTAGAAGGCTTTCTGCTTTTATTTTGTAGTTTATAAAAGACTAAAAGAGTCAAATGTTTTTGTACATGAGGGTTTTGATACTCTGTGTTCTTCGGTGATACTGGCATTGGTTTTTTTTCCAGCACTTCTGCCATGATCCTACTTTTTTGCCTAGTCACAGATTCCCCTCCTTTCCTGCAGAATGCCTAAATCCTACCCTAAATATCTCTGATTTTTAAAATTTCAGCAGTAAGCCAGACTCGTCCAAATACGAGTAAGTWTGTTGGGTGGTTGATTTCATGTCTGTTTCATTAAGTACATTTCTATTGAAGCTTTAAGGTTCTTTCTTCGGCAATACTCAGAGGCTGAGTCTGCTGCTTGGGATCCCTCACCTGATGTTTTGTACAAAAACAAAGTACTCCAACTTTGAGCAGCACTTGTTATCAGTGCCAATAGAACAAGTCTTGTCAATATGACTTGTGGAAATGAGTTTGTAAGTATTTAACAAAAAYTGAGAATATTGTGGGAAAGACCTGTTTTCTTCTCCACCAGGAACTCATATTTATGAGAAGCAGCTTGGTACATATCTAGAGCCCTGGTTGCCCTAGTGCTAAATATTTTTTTCTCTGTTTTCTTCTTCACTGCTGGGGGCTAGGCTGGGAAACTAGTACGGCTTTTAAATGGGGAGAGGTTMGAAAACAAACAGCCTGTGTTTAATTTTTTATTTTTTGTGTCTGCTTACAGATACAAGGTATGGTAGATGAACACACAACAGAACTATTGTCTACTAATTCTCAGTTCCTTTATCTGGAGCTAGGAAAAGCTGTCAGTCGTTCTTGTAGACAAACAGGACATGCCCCCCTCCTTCAATTTCTGTATCAGTGACTTGGCAAAGAATTGAAAGCAAAGGTCTCACCTGTTACAGTAAAGGCACATAGCTATAAGCATATAGCTATAACTCTGTTTCTTTATGATACACTGACCAGGCTAGGTAGGAGCAGAAGCAAGTGTTGTCTGATACTTGCTATAGAAAAGGTAAGGTAGTACAATAATTGTTCTGTGCAGAAGACATTTATCCCCTGTTTCAGCTGTAAACAGTTGTACTTCTTTAGGGGATYCTTTGAAAACGAAGCTGCAAGGGTCCAACCCACTTCATCTCTGATACAGATATTAAAACAAGGGATAAAAAAAGATGTTTGAGACCAGGAATAATCTTTTAAAATTCTCTGCTTYTGTTGCCAGAGCAAAAGCACTATAAAAGCAATAATGCCTTAATAAGTCTGATTCTAGATGGGTGGAGATAAGAAAATTGTTTGACTTTTAGACAAGAAAACGGAATGAAACTTATATTCCTCTGTTGATGGAGATTTGAACCATTATATTTTCAGGAGAAGAGAAACTTGACATGGGGAAAAACACCATGAAACTTCTCTGTGCTTCAATTTCGCTTACCRTGATTTGCTGGCTAGCTGAAGGTACCCTGTCAAAAACAGATGCAAAGAAAGGTGCTACAAAAAAACTGGAGGAAAAGGTAAGAGAAATAACTGAAATTCTTGTCTTATCTGACATGTGCAGTGAGCTATTTGAACTTTGGTAAATGAACTCTACTTCTGTTAAAACAGTGTTAGTGCATTTCCGCTGAAGCTTATGCTCACAGATAAAACTTGAAAACTGTCCTTTCCTTCAGCTTTTCTATGTGTCACAAACTGGTTCACTTCTTGAAACATTCTGGACCTTTATCCTCCATGCAAGCTCCAGAAGCAGGAAGTTTTTGTCCCCTCAGGGAACACATTTCCATCCCTTTGGAAAGCAGGGTGGGGAGCAGTAGTTTRGACCAAGAGCTCTAGGTCATTTGGCTTTTAAACCAGCTGGTGGAATGCAGCCTTGTCAATGGGAAGGGTGTATCCAGATGAAAGAGTTTGAAGAGTCTTCTAAGCAGCAGTTCTTTGGCAGGCAGAAATGATTCAAAGACCCGCAGTAGTCAGAGCAAGCAGAACCAGTGTTCTGAAGTCTCTCTTCAATTGCTGAGCATTATTGTTTCCTGTCATTATGTGCGTACATCTGTCCCTGTTTGTATTGCTTGCTSAACACCTACCAGGAAACAAATCTTGTCTACAGGTAGTGACAGTAATACAAGGTGTTGAGGCAGGTCATATCTTGAAATTCGTTATACTGAATCAATGGATATCTTCTGCATAYCCACCATGCACACCTTATTAAGTATTCTCATTCTGGTTTTATGTGCTGGTTCAGTCGAAGAATCTTCCCTAAGGAAGAGTGTTTAAAATCTTGACGTTCAGTAACCACAGTGCAGCATTCTCAGGCTAAAATGTATCTGGTTTAAAAGCTGTCTTCAAATTCTTGGTAAAGAACTCCTAACCCCTTCTTATTATTTTGGGGGTAACATGACAGAAARCATTGATTAGAAAGCAGAGTACCATCTGCTGTCATAAATTATGTTCTTTATTTTTACAACCTCCTGATTTCTTTTTTTGTTCATATGCTTTTTACCTTCTAAACAAAGTAAGTTTACTGATGATGACAAATAATTTCCTCAAGATTTCTGTGTTTCAGTTTTAAATCAAAGTGCTCTRCATCATTTAAAAGTTGTCCTCGGAGTTTAATGAAGTGATTTGTTTTGTTGTTGTTTTTAAAGTCTGTTGCCATTGAAAGAGGCTGTTTCATCTAATTGGTTCTAATAACTGTCTTCTCTACACAGGTGSTGCATTCTGATAAAACTGTACAGGACCGGGGTTTGGTAGCTGTGGATCCAAAAGCAAAGGATATTATACTGGAACATAAAAGTTATTGCTCCAAGAAGATCAAGGAAAAACATTTCTCAGGAGATGTTCTGGGATATATTACTCCTGTAAGTTGATACAATTCATAAACTTTGTGCTTTGAATGAATATGCAGCAGACTGTGCTAACCTGGAAGTTTGCATTCGTGTTTTAAAAGTATTTTTACAGTAATGGAAACTGCTGGTCCAATAGCCAGAAAAGTATTTGAGACTTGATTTGGGGATCAGGTGGTCTCAAACCCTTTTTCTCCCCTCTGTTTCTTTGGAGGATGTCTAGGTCATACTGTTTTTATTCTTGTTGCTGAGGACTATGCTTAAAGCAGGTGCTGGGTGTGCAGCTGCAGTGGGAGCTGCAGGTTGTGCCTGGRTGGGGGACATGGTGGGAGCCCCAGACAAGGGACTGTGACCTGGTGCTGACCCTCTGCACAGCAAAKGGCACAGGGACCTGTGGCACAGGGCAGGTGAYCGGACACTCAGACACAGCAGGAGCCAAGGACTCTGCAGGAAGACCCCAAACTATCACAGGCACTGAGGGTACAAAACCTGGGGATTCCTTTATTGGGGGTCCCTCCCCAGAGGCACCAGCTTGAGCTGGTTTTGTGTCCCTGCAGCCTGATTGAATTGCTTTCAGGATCCAGATGTCTGGGACTCTGTTGTGGGAAAACCAGGCCTGAGCTGATAAGGAAACCTTATCTGACTATGTGAGTGTGGGATGTGCCGGGAGTCAAGAGGGGCACCCATGGGGTCACTGGAGCCACTCTGAAGGGGCCTTGGTTCCAGCAGTGCAAGTCTGGAGTGGTGGGAGTGTGACTGCCAGAGTGGYTCCTGCATGGTCAGACAGGGAAGCTTTCTTAGCACTGGTTATTACAGGAATGAGAGTAATCTCTTGTCCGTGGTGAGCCAAGTGATGTTGCAGTGAACTCAGAACAGGAGGGCTAGCAAATTGAATGTGCTAAATCAGCAGTAACAATTGTATGCTGCTGTCAAACTGATGTCTCTTGCAATCCTGTCTCCTTCAAAGCATTCTTTCATGAATAAGAAATGTTTCGTCTTTTTTTTTAGCGGATACTTTTCACYTGTTTYAGTCTTACATTGCTCAAAAGACTAATAGATGCCCTATAAATGTTCACCTTTCTGAAGTTCTCTTGGACATAAATTCAGTCTGTAAATTCAAAACTATGTTGGAATCTACAAGCAAGTTCCTGTAGTTCAGGTGAATTAGCACAATTTGAAGATTGCCTTTCATGTAGCTATCAGAGTTTGCTGAGTACTTTCTTATTTCGGTGAAAGTAAAATCCCAGAAGGTTTCCTCAAATGAACGAATAGGAATYTAGCAGATGATTAAATTTCTGCTGAAGAGTTTACATTGGGCAAAAGTGAAGTGAACTGTATATCTTGCTTCTGAATCTCTCACTTTTTTTCTCTCCTTTGTTTTTCAAGTGGAATAACCACGGCTATGACATTGCTAAAATATTTGGAAACAAATTTACACTAATCTCACCAGTTTGGTTGCAAGTGAGAAGGAGGGGAAAGGAACGGTTCCAGTTCACTGGGCTCCATGATGCTGATCAAGGTGTTATTTCCRTTTTCTTCAAATATGAATTGCAGTGTTGTTGCAGACTAGGTAGTTTTGGCATAGTAGGTGGGTTTTGCTGGCCTCATGGTGAAGTGCTTTCATCCACTCCATTTTTTTGGGTTTTCTTCAGAGTGAGCTTCTTCCTGTCCTCAACTGCTTCTAAATTTGTATGTAGTTTATTTGTAAAAAAATATAAGTAAGGAGATGGCTTTTCCATCATGCTATTTACAAAGCCTCTCATAAAAAAAAAAAAAAGAAACAGCGAAGATCCTGTACAAGGAAAACTAGTCTTTGGTGTTTGCACTGTGCAGTTGTTTCCTGTTGTGGATTTTGTTTTTTTTTTGCTTTGCAAAAACCTTTAGGTAAATTTGTTTTAGAAAGGAAAGATACATTGGATTTGAAGAGAATTTTTTCCCTTCATTGTGGAGAAAGTGGCAGCAAGTTTAAATTTCAGCTAGTATGTACTAGTTCATGGTTTTGAAGTTGACTGTGGAATTTCATTTGAAACAGCTGCAATTCTTACCATGTTAACGCTCACTAACAAATTCATCCTAGTGCAATGCGGTCTATCCTGTGGTGCAGGTTAATGGCTTCAGATTCTGTGCATCACAGGATGTTGGGTGGATTATGAGCTGGTAGTCTATGGCAGGAAGAACTGTATAATGAAACTATTGGACATCATTTGAAGAATGCTTGAAAATCTGTTGTCATTGTCAACATCATTTATATTTTAACAGTTGTCTTGCTTGATACTCTTTGRCAGGCTGGATGAAAGATGTCAGAAAAACCTCCAAGAACATCAAAATAGGTGTGCCTCTGGTTTGTGTTTGTTTGCTTGCTTTTTATCTTCTTTAGCTGCTAGGAGAGGAAAGGAAGGCTTTCTTCCRGGTCTGTATGAGAGGAAGAGAGATTACCTTAGCACAGTTGTATTAAGGAAGATGTCTGAGAAGAAAAATAAAAGCGGTTAACTACAGATGGTTAAGTATCTGAAGTGTTGACTCTTTTGATGCCTTAATGTTTTGTCTTAACTTCTTGTCCCTGAATAAATCCTGGGTTGCAGGCCCAGCTCCCTGCTCCCTGAGGGCTCCTTGTATGTAACACTGGATGCCTCCCTGGGGAAAGAAGTCTTCAAACTTGTTGCTTGGGGTTCTGTGTAGTTAAAAAGAAAAAAAAAATCCGAGTCAGTCAGAGTTTTCTGCATGATAGTAGGAAAGTCCTGCTTTGTCTCTTCTGCCCTTGAAGCTAGGAACTCTGGGATGTGCTACAGTGTATGTCTTTAGGGAAAATGGCAAACGTTGCTGTAGAGATTCTATTGTGCTAGACTTCTTATATTTGTCTATAGCAAGAATTCTGGGAACTGTGAAATGCTTCTTGATTCAGAAGGAAGTATGAAATTTGAAATGCATTAGAAAAATTGAATGCTCAGTCAGATATTTTAACGTACTTTATCTGCCTGAGGTTAAAGCCTTTGAAATCTCTATACTCTTCTAAAACACTCTTTCACAACCTTGGTGTTTAGAAAGGGCTTAGACAGAGCTCCATAAAATTCATTGGATTTTCCTGTGGGCATGATTGTCGACTTTTTCAACAGCAGTTTTCCTCTCTATGTTTTTAATGTTTTGTGTTTTTATAAAAGGGAATTACACAAGCTGAAGTGCCCAAGCTTTCYAAAAGTAAAAATTTGTCATGGGGCCTTGAGATGAGTAGGAGAGTGAAGTGATATAGGGCTATGTATGGAGTAAATTAGAGTTTGAGGTGAACTTTTCTACCTCATTATTRTGGTAGAAGAGATACCCAACTTAAAGATTGGWKTCTGGTGTTGTTGCTGTTTTAAGACTCTACTTGAGGCCCTTAGTGRTAGTTCAGTTATGATTGTTCAGTCAAATGAACGTGTCTTCTCTTAAAACTTGTGTCAATGCTGACCATTAACTAAACCTAAAATGAAGARGAATGGTCTTCTTCTGATGCTGGTCAGAGTGAAAGAGTAATGATCCTAGTCATGGGATATGTTTAGTGTCATCTCTGCTTGTATCTGCTGTATTCTATTTCTGCAGAAACATTCCAGTGTAGATAATAAGTTCTTAATTTTCACTACTGTGACAACTTTGTCTGATAGTGCCTCGAATTTTGTTTGATGGCTGGACTTACCAAGACTTTGACAGTGTTTTTGGCAGTGAAGATGAGATAGAGGAGCTTTCCAAGAACATGGTTCTGCTAGCCAAGGTAAAAAGACTATTTATGATGCTTATAAAATAGAGTGAGATGATACTTGATTGCTCTTGTAATAGATGTCTTCTCATTTCTAGACTAAAATAAAAATAAATTTGCTCAAAACAATAATCAGGCAGCATTCTTAATAGTGTGTCTTAGTGTATGTCCAATTCCTGTAATTGTGAAGTGTAGCAACACTTAAGTGCAAGAMTAACATGAGACTACATCAGTCTGATTGACATAACCTTGTTATCACTGGCAGCTGYACTGGTGACTTTTGCCTGCTTTAAATTTCTTTTACATTTCTGTTAAAAGCATAATTATTGGGCAGTGGCTCGGTGCTTAGTGGTATTTTATGATAGGTAGAAAAGGGTCATGGGTGCAATGGTTGCTGTTTTCTATACAGGAGTACATTCAAGTGTGGTATAGCTAAGGAGTGCTTTTAATGCCATGAATAGCTTACTGCATATGTGTTAATGAACAGTTTTGCTCAGGTCTGAACAAGCAGCTTCCTCAAAATGTTAAGAGACTGGGGAAAGGAGAGGAGGATTTTTTCTAAGGTTTTCTGGTCAACCCCTTACCGAATGGCTTTAGAGCTGTGCATGTTGGGGATTAGACAAGTTGAACCCAGAAGACATTCAACATTAGTGGTTGATTCATGGCAGCCTGCTTAATTATCATCAGAATAAGAGTTCTCACTTGCTACATGATGTAAAGAAATCTTAACAGTGTTCTAGAAATCCAACAGTGTTCTGTTGGATTTAGACCTAAACTGAGTAGTTTCTTAAAATGTGCAACTATTAGATCAATGTCTTCAGTAATATTTGACCTCTTAAGGAGGTCAACTCAAGTACAACAGTATCCTTGATCATGCTAAACATAAATTATCAAAAGAGACTAATTGTGGGAGATATTTGGTATGATGTCTATGGCAAGTTAGTATTTACATCTTTAGACTCAAGAGATAATGAGTTTTTTTCCCCACTATACAATTAAAAGTGTGTCCAATTATTTGCTTAAGAACTATCTTTTGTTAGTGTCTGAATTTTCCTAAGCCAGTGTTGGTTTATTCTGTAAAAGTAGATGTCATGGATAACTGATAGAGATTTTCAACTTTTGCAAATTTGTTYGATTATTTGTGCTTCTCTTGGACTTCTTCATGAAATGCTGTGTTAAAGATGAAGCTGGTATAAGAATAAAGCACGTTCAATCTATAATAGTACATAGAAAAAGAAAAGTATGATCATTAACTCTGTATTTTTGACAATTCTCTTCATTTAGAATGAAAATTTTGATGGTTTTGTAGTTGAAGTTTGGAGTCAGCTGGGAAATCAAAAGCAAACGTGAGTACAAATCTCTAGSATGCAATCCCTAAAAACCAGCTCTTTCAAAGCATCATTTTAATTTGTCYGTGTTGATTTCAATATGTCTTTATAAATAAATACATTTCATTCTGAAGCAAATAAAGGTTGTTCTGGTTATCTTACAATAAAGTAGAAGGGTTTACCTCACTCTACATGAGATCAAGGATTACATAATAATCTTYGTAGTGGGTGTAGCAGGTCACATTAGTCTTTCATACTTTGGTTTTGCATGGTGTAACAGTTGTACAAGGATGAAGAGGGTACCTCAGTTGCACAGTCACACGTTGCCGCTGACCTTTATCGTAACATTGTTTCRTTTGGGTTACTGGATGAGGCTTGGMACAGTGTCATGCTTTCAAGACTTAAGACAAACACGAAACTTCTGCTTCATGAGGAAAAGGCAGAATATAGTGRTGAGATTAATGATTCAGTGCAGGAATCGGAAGACTTTCAGGCATCCATTTCTGTAAAGCACATTTCTACCAGATCTCTGTTGCCTAAAATATCTGGGGGAAAATAGCTTAAAGAAAGCTGTACAGAATGCAGATTTCATTATGGAAGACTTTCACCTTTCAAACATGGTTATTTCAGGTTATTCTTTAGGACAAATGCTGGTGACTGATGGTGCATATTAGTTACTTCTCAAACTGAGTGTACTGTTAACAGTTCTATTATAAAATTAACACTTGGGAACAAAAAGCTGAAACTGCAGAATCTTTGTAGCTTTGTCAAGGGCTCCATCATTTGCCCTGCAATGAGTAATCCTTAAGCTATATGCTCTTGCTTATAATTACRTAATTTATCAGGTTGCTCCTAAGASCTGTTCCGCATACTGAGCTCTGAGCCTAGTGCGGTATCTTTATAGGGCAGCCAAGAAGGTGATTGAAGCAATTAGTAACTGCCAGTCAGAAGTGGGTGGTAGTGGTCATTTTATTTACCGTGTTTACTGTATTTAAGTAAAATTGATTATTTCCTAGTAGTTAACACAAGTATAAGACRGACTGTGTAACTGTCATTTTAAGACTTACTGAAGATCATTTTAAATACACTGGTATGAAAGTGCTATATTGCAAATGAAACACATGAGCAAAGCATACTTTTCTGTTAGTTCCAGGGTGAGTTTATTTGTGGCATGGTAAAAATATTGCTCTCTGCCAGGAGTAATGTTGGTTTRAAACAGTGTTATTTCACAGAATCACAGAATATGCTGAGTTGGACTCAAGTCCTAACTCCCCTCCCTGCACACCACCATCCCCAAGAGTCACACCATGTGCTCAAGTRTGTTGTCCAAATGCTTTCTGAACTCTATCAGGCGTGGTGCTTGGACCACTTCCCTGGGGAGCTTGTTGCAGTTCCTAAACATTGAAAAATGTTCTTCTTAATGGGTGAAGAACCTTTTCTTAACATCCACCCTAAACCTCCCCTGCCATAGCTTAGGCCATTCCCTCAGGTGTTGTCACTGGTCACCAGAGAGAAGAGATMAGTGCTTGCCCCTCCCTCTAAATATGATTTGTTTATCCAGCTGTGTGCTGGACAGTTTGTCCAGAAGCACACTATAGGGACAGGTGTGATAAAAACTGTATTAAAGGACGTACTGCTCTTCAGTTGCTTTAGCTTTCAATTACCTGAGTGTTATTTGGTGAAGCACCACTTAAATATTCACTCTCTGTCATTGATAGAAAGGAGTGAGAAGTATTTTCCATAACTTCCGAAAAGGAAAGGGTTATTCTCATACAGTGCAATGGTAACCACATCCTTTTCTCTGAGTCGGTAATGTTTGATCATATATGACCAACTATGAACAACACTTTAGGATTAACCTATCTTAAAATGTGAGATTGTTTGGCAGAAAAGCATAAATAAAAACAGAAGTTAGGAGCTTCTGGAGATTTTCCTTCATTTTGAGACCCAAACTAAGTGCTTCACTGGAAACTTGTCAGAGGGTTTTTCCTCCTTTAACTGCTACTTCCCTAGAAATGATTGGGGGTTTTTAGTTGCACAATGCCTTGGGTTGGGCTTGCAGCACTCTGAATGATGCCAGTTTAGATAGAAAGCTGAAGGTGGCCTCAGTGTGCAGTAACAGCTGTTTTGTGAATGTGGTAGACTCACATGATTACATGGAAATTTTATTTCATGATGCTTCTAAGTTGTGGGACCAGTGTCCTCATTTGGAAATTGTGTTTGCCTATCACTTGCTTTAAAACTCGATGGCTTTGCTAACCAGTGCCCATGAGATTTTCCCTAATAATGTTTTCTGAAGTGAACCGCTTCTTTGAGCAGTTCTTAAGGGGCAGAATTAAGTGAATTGATCACCTTGGCTAGCCTGTATTTTTACTGCACTTTGAGTGCTGTTACTTTGGAATCAGTTCATTTTATTTTGAGTAGCAGAGCAGGGTTATTTCTCATAAATGGGTAAGCATGGGTAGTTTTTCGCTTCGTTTGTCCTGTCGGAGGAGTTGGAGCARCGCAATGCTTCCTTTAGCCCACAGCGTGGCAGTGTTGTAACGCGATTCACACCTGCTCTTCCTTCAGATCGTGTCTTTGGAAAGTGASAAACCCCSGKAGTAAAACACGTTCTTAACCTCGGRAGGGTGACACAGGMGGTGTCAGCAGAGAGATGAACCCTTATCCTCTGGAGAGGTGAAGTGTTTGTAGGATGGTATTTGTGTATGCTCCAAATAAGGCATCTGTCCTAGCTGTGAGGTGCAGTGTAGGCTTTCCTGATTCACATCCTTCAAGGTCAAACACCTGGTAGAAGCTTAACCTACTTCCAGGTAAAGGGACAAAAGGTCATAATGATGCTCCWGGAAACAGATATTTTGCCTTCAAACTACTTTCAGAGCAGTCTGATAATACAAGGAGACCTGGGTAACTAATGCAGTTTATTAATGTTAAAGTGAAYATGTTTTMATTTAAAAATAAAATTTAAAAATCTTTTTTTTTCATCCTCACCTGCAAGGATTAGTCTCACATAAGCAACAGTTAGCAACAGGTTGTTGAAACTCAACACAGCTACATAAAAATATACAGGAATATGCTGCAGCTGCCAGCTTGCCTTATGAAATGTTAGAGCAGTGGTGTCAGTCTAGGGAAAAGTATTTCACAGAAAATCATTATGGTTTTTATTTTTCAAAATTTAAATTAAGTGGGTACCTAGCTGTTAAATTTATAAATGGCACTTAATTATTCTATATATTTAATGTATCTATGTTGAGGGGAAAGCTATGGAAGCTGTCATGTTTTTAATTGTGTTATAGAAAAGATGTGTAATCTCATCCAATGCCCTGACTTAGTGGTGCAGGAACACTTGATATATCAAAGGTTTCTTTATCCAGCTTAGAATGACTACAGGGGAATTTGCTTATGGAACATTTTTTGCCTCATATGTGTTTCAGCTGCTAAATCAGTATCCACTTTGTAAAGATTGTGTGCAGTGATACTTTCTAGCGGAGTGCATACAGAAGCAGGTGAGTCTGCAAAAGTTCTGAAAGACTCAAATTAGCATCCTAACTCCCCAATAAATTGGGCTGTGATTTAAAAATATATCAGAATTCATATATTGGAAAGCTGGATTAATTGCATCTGAAGGTCTCTTYTCTATTGGCCTCAGCTGAGCAAGTGTTATCCATGAGATACCTGTTTTCAATAACTGAACCTGAATATTGGATGGACATTTTCATAAGACATGCTCTTTCTARTGTCTTAATGTTGGGGCTTGAAAATTGCCGAAAAACTTTGTGATGTTTAAATTAGGTAAGAATCTTCATGTAACAGGGTAACCGTGCAAGCTAGCTCTTCTRTAACATAAATCCTGTGACAAGCCTCTTTAAAGAACCTGATTACTGAGCGYTTTTTAAATTAGGTAAATTTAGACATTCCTCTGCCAGCCCTTTTCTATGTTTCTAGAAAACCTTTATGTTTYGGGTATTGAATTCAACTGGAAATGGGTGAAAATTCTTCCTTCATGGCCCAAGGAGCTAKCTAAGAAGAGTCTTCAGTTTCCTGTTTATTCTAGCTGGTATCATAGATGAGGTGAAGTGTTGCTAAGAAGTCATGTTACTGGCATCCACTAAAACATGAAATCCTGTGGTTTCAGGCTCATTAAGTATCTTCTGTTTTATGTCTCAAGCAGAGCAGACTTAATCTGGTTTGGGTTTTTTCAAAAACAAAAAATTTTCCAATCATTCTGGTTTGGGGTTATAGARTTGTTCTGTAATGCCTAGCAGACTAAAGTTTTAAGTAATAGAAATCCTTCACACTGCTTTATTTTGCATATTCATTAAATGTTGATTTTATCAAAATTATCAATTTTTGTAAGAGAATTATGTGCCTAAATATTGTATCTGCCTGCTTTCATGTTAGATATCCTGAGCAGCCTCTTCTCTGGCTGTCCATGTGGGAGCCTTGGTGTCTYGAGTCGTACACAGCAATGCTTTCATGTGTGCTTTGTATGCTTTCACATGTATAAAATAGCATAAAGTTCTTGTGTTCGCGTTCTTAATTTTAGAAATAACACTTGTTCTATCTGAAGAACCTGAATTGTCTTGTACATGTTGCGTGAACCTGGTTTTGGGCATTTCAGGCTCTTACAGATGTCTAATAGAGGTACTTCGAAGTACCCTCTATAGCACTGGTACAACTTCTTCCCTGTGTTCTCTGGGAATAGAACAGTTAACATACACATCACAGTGGCATCAAATTTAATGTGAGATGAAAGACTGCATCTAACTGATGCTGCTTCCTTTCATGCTAGCAATCATTGCACAGTGAACAAGTGTTCAACTACCCATYTTTTACCATAACRCATAGAAAAGTAGTCTCRTAATAAAAATCWAAATGAGCTGAGAGATCYTATGCAGRTGATWCCTCAATTCTAATCTGTTTTGCTGSTTYGTATAGTTTAAATGTGCTTCTTAAGTAATTGTCTTTTGTTTTCTAAAACTTTCATGCCTAATTTTGCAATAAAATATTCCAAGTTGTCCATCCTGTGGCATTTAAGTTTCGAAATGTACATGGCATAAATATTGAGAAACCTGAGCAAGCAAAAGCTCTCCTGCTTATTTAGTTAACAGCTAGACAAGACCATGTCTCACTTACTAATCTCAGTTGTGRGTTTTCTGGATGGGTTTTCTTTTCTCCAGAGACCTGGGTGTGTTGTGAAAAAGGCATAATATACTTGTAAGACTCTCACAGGCTACATAAAAATRCACACAGTATTCTGAACAATCCAGCATTACTTGATAGATGGCAGTGCCATCGCACAGAAACAATCCGAAAAACGTGATTTTTATGTCACTCTATGCAGAAGATGACCTTCAGGCAACTTATTAATGTTGGTAGGAGTATAGGAGAAAAAAGCTTTTCTGGCAGTTGTATCCTTCATGTTAGTCCCTGAAAAATTAATCTATTAATCAAAGATTTGCTATAATTCACTCCAGTCTCTTGGTATTAAGTAGGCAATGAAATGGCAGAAAAGGGCAATTTCTTCAAGTAGGCAGCTTTATTTTGTCCAATTTTCTTGACAAGGTATAAATTTTAGGGAGTACTGACTCCCAATTTCTTCAAAAAGAAGTCTGAAGTTGGAAAGTTGCAGAGCTCTAAAGGGTGATGCACCTGAAGGGAAGGGTTTAACAACCTTTCATGTCTCCTGCAAGGCTTTTCAAATGCATCTACAGCCCACACTTGGGCGCTGAAGTAAACTGTTCTCCAGAGTGTGCAAAACACAGTAGATCTGCCATGCTGGAAAAAGTGATTTCTGTAAAAATAAGCTTTCCAGAAACTTTGGGTGATGAAAATTTGAAGGTCTGCATGCTTTAGGGGACGAGGTACTTTGAAATCATAAACTTGGAAAATTTACCTACCAAATAGTAGTAGTAAGAGAAGGCCAGRAATAGTATGAATTAAGTAGATCTCACTTAGCTTAACATAGAATATTAAAGCTGCCAATATTTTCATAGCTACTCTGAAGTTAAACTTTACTATAGAGAAGTGTCTGGTAAATATTTAATGAAGCTTTTTTGGAAAGATTGATTCTATTCCTACTTTTCTGTACCTCATTATAATGTTTAAAATGTTAGTAGCTTTTCTTTCAAAATTGCCAATGGTAACATGGGAGAATTTTGTGTTTAAAACACTAGAAAGCACTGTTGGGACACAGTAAATTTTTAATTTATGGTACAATAAATGAACATTCTGCTATTGCTCTTTGGGGGAGAGGGAAGAGTGCACATTTGATTTACTTAATCTGTCTTGGTCAGCACATGGAAATGAGTCTAAATTAAGTATTTAGCCATTAATCCTGCCTGWTTTGCCAGAAAGTGTTCATGGCCCAGAAACCTGGCTTGACAGCTTAGTGAGTAGATATTAATCTGGCTTTCTTGAGCAGAAATCTGCAGTTGTCCAGCTGTCCTTTTTCTTCTTGACTTCCTTCAGGTTGAAGGTAATTATTTTTCAGCCAGATCAATACTGATTGAATTTGGTGGGGGGAGGGTAGGAAGTGGCTGTTTAGATGTAGCCTGTTTTAGAGTCCTGAGTGCACCAGCARTCCAAACTGCACTCCTGTCCCTTTTTCAGGCCACGAATCTCTGTCTTGCGTTTGCAGTTGTGGGTTCTGGTACTATTATATGTTTCAAAATATGACTATTTYGTGCAGTCACTGCTTTTGTAGGTATGTGTCTCCCTTTGTGGTTAGGTTTTGCCTCTGAAAAATGGGAGTGAGCCTTGTTTCTGCATGAAAAAGGTGTTATCTTGTTCTGTACCTATGCTAGGTTCTTTTGTCCTATCCTGCCCTTCTTTTTATCCCTTCTATCTTCTAAATAGTGAAAGTCAGCAAATGTTTTGCATTCTGTAGAATTCTCAAAGCTCCTATAGCTAAYGAAGGGGGCCAGGCAGAGAAGAGAGATCCCTGCTGATGAATGCTGTAGAATAATCTAAAGACTAGAGGAATTAATTCTTTAGTCAAATTTATCTTATATGTAGCATCTCTGACATGTAATAAAGGTTGAGTTGTACTGTAGTTTGGGCATAATTACTTAAAAAGGTCACTAAGCTACAAGATACAAATCAGTGGAAAAGCTTGCTTACCTAGTTTTAATACTGATGGTAGTTTTTGATGAGATTATGTTGTGYGAGGTGTGATAGATGTGTATGTTGGTGTCAGTAAATGTCTTTTTAGGTTGGTGTTTTAGGTTTTTAATGTGYTTCTATGGAAAAGGATTCTTCTATGCTATATTTGTTTTGTCTGAATAGTGACACTACTAATGTGGAATGCATGTGGTAGCAACAGGAGGTAAAGCTGTTGGTTTCCCAGAGCAAGAAAGGTACAATTACATGCTGCAGACAGACCAAAAGCTGATTCCTGCAATCCCATGTTTTCCCCCAGGAGAGAAATRCAGGTGGCAGTGTGTGATAGTTTTTTGTTAAGGGCTGTTAAGCATAGCCAGCTCTCAAATTGTAAACACAAAATATTTCTGRTATTGGGAAAGTGATGAAACGTGCTTTGTTTGTTTGCCAGGATTTTGAGAGTAATGGCTTTTAAAGGCCCTTGGAAGTTTTAATCAGGCATCAAACCATTTCAGGCAAAATGAAAATACTTGGTTACCTTTGGATAGTGTCTACATTGTGCAAATCAAGCATAATTACTGTGATGGATCATTATATCAGAAGAGCAATGATTTCAAAAAAATATCTCCAGGATTATACTGCTTTGAAAGGCATGACAGTACCAAGATGWTATTTCTGAGAGTTCAGGTCTAATCCAGTTTAAGTGGTTCAAACAGCATGGATGATGTATTTTGTCTATTCTGCCTTTACAGCTTAAGCATTCCTAAGCCTTCTGGAATGGGTGGTGAAGTTGCTTTCCCTTTGGTTCTGGTTTATGTATAGTCCTAAACAGATCTAGGGTTCTGTTCTAATATCATGTGACTGTGATTGTGGATCCTCAGTTTGAAAACAGGAAACTTAACTCAGTCCTGAAAAATCAAATTATTTAAGAAAGGCAGTCAGAAGTGCCATATTTGTAGGGCAAATGTAAGGTAATATTGGATTCCTCTTAAAAAACATGAAACTTTGTTTCTGGCAGTCTGAAAGATTTTCTGTTAACATAATCCTTCAAGTTAGGAGTGTTAAAAAAAGTTTGCATAAGAATTTTTAAGTTTCTTTTCCTGGGAAATATTTAGAATATGGATATGAAAATCAGCTTTTGTGGAAGTCTTTATTTAAATGATGCATACAGAAGATTGTGTTTTCAGCTAGGATGTTGTCAAACATTATAGCTACGCGGTTTGTAGGTATACAGTAATGTATTGAGAAACAAAAAGATTATTTATACAGGAAAAAACCCAGCAGAAGAAATGTTTCTAAACACAGGCCTCAGAAGTATCCCTTAAACATTGTGTGTTTTGCTGTGAAAGCATCTTCACAAATTCTTGTGTGTAGCAACCCAGTAACARCTTTAATCTCTTCAACAGCTGTTCTTTCAGAACAGTGTTTGATTCTTCTATTGATCTAATTCTTTTCACAAAAAATGACATCAAGAGGTGACCTGCTCTGATAAGATATGCTGGCTTGTTTTGCATGCTAACAATGCATAGCTAGAGTAAAATAAAACCAGGAAAAACTTAAAACTCAAGGTSATCACCAGTTCCAGTAAAACTGAGACTGGAGCTGTGCAGTGCTCTTGGTCCTTAAAGAGGGTAAATCKAATCAGTCTTCCTAACTGTTCTTTTTGCTATGATCATTTGCAACAAATTGTGTTTGTCTCCCTTGCCATCTGTGGTTTTTCAAGTTATTTCTACTGTTACTTGTTCTTGTCAATATATACCAGCAGTTTTCCTACCTTTCCCTCTAACAGTATATTTCTATTTCAGGGAGTTGATTCACTTGCTCACTCACCTTTCTGAAGCTCTTCATGAAGCACAACTTAAACTTATACTGGTCATCCCTCCTGCAGTTGCAGCAGGGTGAGTATTCCTATTTAGAGGGCAAGTTCCAGATAAGAAATACTTTCTTGTCTGATAAACAGTAAGTTCAAAAACTTTATTTCAAGCAGTGCACTTTAATAGAATAAGAAATTATTTGGGTTTGATTGGTAGACTTTTCTTCATGCATGTTGTGGTGAATAGTCTTGGTAACTATGTGCATTCATATATACCTCTTAATTTTTGATGTGATAGAGGAGCTAACAAGGAGAGGTGCTGTGCTRGACCTTGTTCTCCCCCACATTCCAGGTGGGGTCTTGTGAGAACGGARTGGAGGGGCAGAATCCCTTCCCTTGACCTGCTGGCCCTGGCCACATTTCCCTTGGTGCACCCCAGGGTATGKTTGGCTTTCCCAGCTGCAAGTGCACTCTTGGTTGTCAATTGCATAGTTGGCAATGCAAGATTATTTTTTTTTTCTCCCGAGTTTCCTTTTTTCCTTTGAGATGTTCAGCAGCTTTATGTCTGCATATGAAAATTCAGTAATGTAAGTCAAACAGAGAAGCATTGTTAGGTACTTTTTCAAATAAGAGCCAGTAGACAGCTAAAGAAAAATATGTCMATTTCTTATTTTCTCACCTTGGRCTGTAGAGYAGTATGGATAGGCTCGCAGCCAATACAGATTATGACAGTTTAACAGCACAGTTTCAGGACAGTGTTGTASAGCCTCCTAAATTTCTTGTAGGCTGTCACATCTTTCAGTGTACATTCATTTTCAAAGTGCCAAAAAGGCTGAGAAAATTGAATGCCTGAGCAGTCTGGTAARTGCTTCTGTGGCTGGACTTTTCTGTGCAGCGACCTCAAGTTTTTGTTGAGTTTTATGAGGAGGTCCAATAGCATGTGGGGGAAATAAAACATTTCTGCCTACAGCTATCTGTGCRGACTTAGATGCATCTGGCTGAAAAGATACAGGGATCCTGCAGTAGGTGACTAAAAGGTTGTCTGTGTGCTGAGATCAGTTTGCATCTGCCCTATAAGTGTGGTGTTGCCTCTTCTGTAGGTTAGCAATTCCCCCATCCAAACCAGTTGCTGAATATTTGTACTTCCCACCATTTTAAGAGTATAAGCCTGGAACAATATCTACCTCATTTTGTTCTTCAGTAGCTGCCTGAAATCTCATTGCAGGTTATTTTCTGTAAAACTATGTACTTGACTATGTTTCTTGTTTCTTTGTATTTTCCTCTGTTGCATGCTATAACTGATTGATATCCTTAAGATTAAGTAGTTTGGTTAATGAAAAAACCACTTTGCKTCTGTGAGTAGCTAGCCACCAAATTTTGATAGGCAGAGAGAGAAACAATGTGTTGAAGACTCTGGCAAAAGAAAACAATAAATTCCATGTAAATTGGTAGACAGTTTTGTAAAATAATACCTGTGCAGAGCCCTTTTCTTAAGGGACTGAAGGCCTAGCTGAACTTTGAGGAGATTCCTTCCTATCCCTCAAGCTCCTCTGCTTTTGCCTTGGTTTTGGGTTATTAAGCTTCTAACTTCTTGCAGATTGCTCTGGAAAATTGTGGGTTGGTATGCCTTTGCATGATACGGATTTTCTGTGGTGCTAACAAGTACTTTGAGTTTCTTCTGATTTGGTTAAATCAAAAATAATGAGAAATTACTATGTCTTATCTGCTGTCTGTCATTTATTCCAATAAATGGAAATCTTTCATGCTGTCCTTGTATAACCTACATTTCATCTCAATTGATAGTTACTTTTTAAAGTAATTTTCAGTTGCTATTAATTTTAGTCCATTACAGGTAAAGCAAAGGAGAACATTTTAAAATGTTTTTCAAAAATGCTTTATCAGTCACTGCATCACATAGATGCTTTTTAAAATGCTAGTGCATGCTCTGGTGGAGTTTAAGTAATTGCTGTATACAGTGTTCACATTTGAAATGCATTTGTGCTTTTGGTGGTAGGGAGAAMGTGGAGAATAGTAGAAACCTCAACATTCCTCTTCATTGTGATACCTATTGACATTACCAGGGTCAGCCAGAGGGGCCTAAACCTGTTTTTTCTATAAGTCACATAATGCCTTATAGTCTATTTTTACTGAATCCYTAAATAAGAGTTGGAGCCAGAAGACCTCTGGATTCTTAAGGATATTTTGCCTGGACCAGAATTTGCATTGTTAAGGTATCTGTCTTTCAGGGCTATTTCTTTGTTGAATACCACACGAAGGTTTGGATCTTGTGTTGTCATTGCTGCCTCCTGCAGCAATTTTGACACAATAGTGAGRTCGCAGTGCTGAAACCTTTCCAAACTGGGATTTAAGGATGCCCTATTAGAGCTAGGAAGAGATGCCTTTCTAAACTGCAAYGTTTAACCTGAAATAAGTTTACATGCTGCTGCCAAAATGGCCTGTTTGTAGAGGAACTGTGAGAAATAACAGCTGTAGTTTATATGAAAGAATTTGAAAGTCTTATTCCTCTAAACCAGTTATGTATTTTTTTATTTATTTATGTGGTCTTAAAGTTTGTGGGATTTATCCATAAACCTTTATTGCCCAGGAGAATGCACTAGTCACATTCTTTTCAATCAATAATCTTACATAAGTCCCCGTCTATATCTTTCACATATGTGTTCTTATTGCATTAACTGGGAACACACTTWAAGTTTTTGAGTAAATAGGTTTTTGAAAATACATTGATAAGTTACAGAAACATCCTAAAACATTCACCATGTCCATGCATACTTTAATGCTTAGAAGTATGCTGGATTTAATTATGTCAGTAATAAGAATCCTGAAAATTTCTTTCTACCTTGACTTTTTAGATGGCAGCTGTACTTGAAAATATTTGGTTTATAGGGTACGAGGCTTGAACTGAAAAGYGCCTCCTACTGTGTATTAAATATCTCGTGTCTTGAAACCCACTTTGTGTTTTAACACTTACATGTGTTTGAAAGTGTGCTTTAATGCATCTTACATTCTTTAGTTTTTGGAATCACTGTAGACTGTTAATCAAAAATACAGCAAAAGACATGGAAATAAGTACCATCAAGAATCAAATAATRTATCAGAGTTCAGCAGCTGGCAATAGACTGATAAAGGAGACATGAGCTGTATGTGGAATACCCTACCCAACTGGGATGCTAGGAGCTCAAATATTGCCCCTTTTGTGTTCTACGATGATTAATATTTAAAGAGCGCATCATCGAATGTAAGCAGTTTATTTAGGAATTCGTAATTTAGACTCTTGATATGCATTTAGATCAAAGCAGTCTGTCAGCAAATACTATTTGAAAGGAGACACTTAAGAGCTAAAAATAYGTGTTTGCTGAGGGAAAATCTGTCTGGAAAATGCAGCTCTGCACATGAGATTGAGTGTKGGATGCAGGAAGAAAACATGTTGGGTCATTTGTTTGACTTCTCAAATTCAACTTTTCCAACTTGTGAGTTTTTGTTGCAGAAGTGAGACTGATCCTSTACTTAACCTTGCTTTGTTAACTAAAGGTTCTGGTGGCACTTTGGGATTTTGGTTTGCTTGTACAATATTCTGGATTAGAAGAAAACTTCACTCTTTTTGGATTTTTTTTTTTTTCAAAATCCACACATTTTATAGCTTTTCCCAACATTTACCAGAGGCTGTTGTGCTGGCATAATCAAGAGTTGGGAATGTGTTTGGATGCTGATTAGGGGTAGGAATCTCTCTAGCAAGCTTTAATGTTCCAGAGAATGCATGTAGAGCTCCCAAGGTGTCAGACTGGGGTAGTATTTTCTCCACCTGATGTCCAGAGTTTACATTACTTTCCTGCAAATGTAAGTGATTCACAAGAAAGGGGAACAAAGGAGCCAAAGCTATTCTCTACAAAGTGTGTGTGTGTGTGTGTGTTGTACTGTAATTCTGCCTTGCGATCGGAGTCTTGCAGTTGCAGATGTCCAAAGAAACATGCACGGATTGCAGTGATAAGTGTTTGCTAGAGCAGATGGTTTGCTGATGACTTCCATCCTGTATTTCCACAGATTGTCTCAAAAAGTTTGAATTTTACTGCTTTTAACATTTTCATGGACTTTGATGCATGTGTAAACTATGAGTACCATTTCTAAAAAGTCAGTGTGTAGCCAGGCATATTCTGTCCTGATGGTGCCATTGGTCCTACTARTCCTGGGCTTGATTAAATTCTTGCCTTAAATAGATGCATTTCTGTGTTTTACTGTGCTGCAGAAATTATACTGGGGAAAGCTGTGTGACTCTTTTTATACTGATTTYACAAGCCTCTTTCCAAATAGGATAGCTGTGCTGGAGTGAGCTTCCTTTATACCTAAACATGCACATGCATAACTGTGTTAGGGGAGAAAAAGTATGGCAAATGGACCTTGAAATTTGGTTGCACCTGTTCTCATAAGTCRTAGGCATTGGGTTGGTTATTTTGTTTCTCTATACTCAAATTCTTTATAATTAGGGATGCATTTTCAAAGCACAAAGTGAGGCTTTGTTTTGTATTTATTTTCTGTGTACAAGTAAATTGAATTTCATCTACTAGATTATTGCATTTTTTGTCCAGGTTCAGCAACCATTTTGTCCCTTGTATTTCCCAATTACTGTCGAGAAAACCATGAGTAAAGAAAATTAAGTTTCTTTACATRAACTGTCATTGGAAAGAGCATCAATAATGTTCCTGTGTCTTGCTGTCCTGAGAAAGAAAGACAAAAAGTTCTCGGAAGCTGTAGGTTGGGTGTTGTCTTCACAGGGGGTCTCAATCTATCCAATCTATCTATGGCTGCATAACCATTGCCTTCTTGGCATTTGTAGTTTATCACAAATTATAGAGATATGTTAAGGCTCAGTGTACAATCATTAAAAGCTGTTAGTTTTGTTATACAGTGTTAAATAACTGTTTAGATTGTTAGTGGTCGCTTTCCTTGGACTTTTATTGTCCCCTGAAGTATAATCCTTTGGACAAAGTAGGAATTAAAATGGTTGTGTCACTTCATAATATAATACTATGCTCTTTATTGACATTTTGATGGTTAGGATATGCACCAGGC